GCAGAGACTACAAAAGAAAGTCTCAGAGGACAGGTACAGGGCTACCCACACTTGTGACCTCTGAGGTGCTCATGGGAGATTCAGATGTAGATGCCTGGTAAACAAAGGGAAAAGTAAGTCTCCAGTTGTAAAGAGATCTCAAACAGAGATGTGTTTAAGAGTTTGCAACATCACGATGGTCATCAAAACACTGGGTGTCATTAAGAGAAACAATAATTGCCTGCAGGGAGAAAGATCAACGAATTTACTGAACATCTACTCTGTGCTGGACACTCTATGTGTTATCATCTCAATCTCCCCATGATATTGGCAAGGAGACTGAATGCAGACAGGCCTAGGAAGGTGCTTGAAGTCAGGCAGCCAGTCAGAAGCAGAGCCAAGCTTGCAACAATGTCTCTCCAAAACCAGTCCCCATCCATTCATTCTTTCAATAGTACTTATAAAGTGAATTGCTGAGAGGAGAGGAGAAGCTACAGAAGAGGTTGAGAAGGAAGACCCTGAGATAGGAAAAGAAAAGGTGAAGAATGATGTCATCAAGTCCAAAGGAAGGAAGAGCTTCAAGTAATAGTTTCAGTTATCAATTATAAAAAGACTCAGAGTCAGACCAGAGGATGTTTCTGTCATAAATTGCTATCCAAATGATATCAAGTCATGCACACACACACAGAGTTTTATCAGAATTAGGATGTGTACACTGCATTAGACACTGACCATCATCAGGGACTTGCTGGAGTGGAAGGAGCAAAAAAACAAGACAGTAATTTGTATAAAAGTACTTAGCATTTGAGGAAGCCAGAAGAACAGAAAGAAGGCAGGGTGGTTGCTAAAGGGAAGGTATTTTACAGACGAAGATTCAGACTTGAGCATAGATGTAGGCTGAATGACTTGAGTTGAAAAATCAAGGTTTAAGTATGCAGGAGAGAGGCTCTAAATGAGAGAATGAGGAGTTGGCCTTGGAGTGGAGCAGGGTCCACTCTTCCTCTAAAATAGTGGTCTTCATTCTTGCTGAGCCCATGGACTCTCTTGAGAACCTTGTGAACATTTTTAGGTGTCTCCCCAGAAAAACATATCTAAACATTCACAAAACTGGGTATGATCTTAGGGAGTTCTTGCTAAAATCTCCTAAGCTTCAAATTTAACGCACTCTCCTTGAAAGTGAAGAAGTGCTATTAATGTTATTATAGAGAACAATAGGCTCCATCTAAGCTTCAAGCAATCCCAGATTGGTGAATTAGAAGTGGCTGGAGAATGTGATGAGTTGGATTTCCTTTGTGCTGACATTGATTAATGAGGCCTGACTGAATCACAGTGACAGTTCCCCTGAAAAGAGCAGTTTGAGTTAGGAAAATGGCGCTCTGGAAATTGATTTCTTTCAGACAATTGGCCTCTGTGAAATCCTCCCAATATCCTTGTGTGAATCCAGGGTTACATGGATGAACTCTGAAAGCCATTTTTGATGTGGAAATTCCTAATGTAGAAAAAGTATCAAAAATCTTTCTGGAAATATTTACACCTGGATTATCAATTTGGTATATCCCAGGGGAAGTATCCAGTGTGAGGAAATTAACAGGAGCCCAAAGTTTTGCATTCTATTCACTGAGTAAAAATGCATAGATTGCTACATGACAAGACCTGTTCCAAGGGCTTTATGAACTAATTCATTAAATTCTCATCACAAGCCTACTAGATGGGTACTGATATTATCGCCATTTTACAGAGAAGGCAATAGAGGCACAGTGAGATAGCATGGTTGGTCTTGGTTTGGGTCAGAGACTAGATCTGGAACCAGACTGTCTGTTTCCAGAGTCTGGCCTCCAACTTTTACTCTATGTTGAGGAAGTTTACATATTAATATGTTCACACATCATATTAATATGTTCACACATTCAATTTTTTTTTTTAAGATAGAATCTTGCTCTGTTGCCCAGGCTGGAGTGCAGTGGAGCATTCTCGGCTCATTATAACCTCTGCTTCTTCCTGGGTTCATGCAATTCTCCTGCCTCAGCCTCCCGAGTAGCTGGGACTACAGGCGTGTGCCATCACACCCAGCAAATTTTTGTATTTTTAGTAGAGATGGAGTTTCACCATGCTGGCCAGGCTGGTCCTTAAGCTTATCAGCTTAAGGAGATTTTGGGCTGAGATGATGGGGTCTTCTAAATATACAGTCATGTCATCTGCAAATAGAGAAAATTTGACTTCTTTTCCTAATTGAAAACACTTTACTTCTTTTTCTTATCTTATTGCCCTGACCAGAATTTTCAATACTATGTGGTATAGGAGTGGCGAGAGAGGGCATTCTTGTCTTGTTCTGGTTTTCAAAGGAATGCTTCCAGTTTTTGCTCATTCAGTAGTATTGGCTATGGGTTTGTCATAAATAGCTTTTAGTATTTTGAGATATGTTCCATCAATACCTAGTTTATTGAGAGTTTTTAGCGTAAAGGGCTGTTAAATTTTGTCAAAGGCCTTCTCTGTATCTATTGAGATAATCATGTGGTTTTTGTCTTTGGTTCTGTTTATGTGATGAATTATGTTTATTGATTTGCATATATGTTGACCCAGCCTTGCATTCCAGGAATGAAGCCAACTTGATTGTGATGGATAAGCTTTTTGATGTGCTGTTGGATTCGGTTTGCCAATATTTTATAGAGGATTTTTGCATTGACATTCATCAAGGATGTTGGCCTGAAATTTTCTTTTTCAGTTGTGTCTCTGCTAGGATTTGGTATCAGGATGATGTTAGTCTCATAAAATGAGTTAGGGAGGATTCCCTCTTTTGCATTGTTTGGAATCATTTCAGAAGGAGTGGTACCAGCTCTTCTTTCTACCTCTGGTAGAATTTGGCTATAAACCCCTCTACTCCTGGACTGTTTGTGGTTGGTAGGCTATTAATTGCTGCCTCAATTTTAGACCTTGTTATTCGTCTGTTCAGGGGTTTGACTTCTATCTGGTTTAGTCTTGGGAGGCTGTAAGTGTCCAGGAATTTATCTGTTTCTTTTAGATTTTCTGTTTTATTTGCATAAAGGTGTTTATAGTATTATCTGATGGTAGTTTGTATTTCTGTGGGATCGGTGGTGATATCCCCTTTATCATTTTTTATTGCATCTATTTGATTCTTCTCTCTTTTCTTCTTTATTAGTCTGGCTAGCAGTCTATTTTGTTGATCTTTTCAAAAAACCAGCTCCTGGATTTATTGATTTTTTGAAAGGTTTTTAGTGTCTCTATCTTCTTCAGTTCTGCTCTGATCTTAGTTATTTCTTGTCTTCTGCTAGCCTTTGAATTTGTTTGTTCTTTCTCCTCTAGTTCTTTTAATCATGACATTAGGGTGTCGATTTTAGATCTTTCCTCCTTTCTCTTGTGGGCATTTAGTGCTATAAATTTCCCTCTACTCACTGCTTTAAATATGTCTCAGAGATTCTGATACATGGTGTATTCATTTTCATTGGATTCAAAAAACATCTTTATTTCTGCCTTCATTTTGGTGTTTATCCAGCAGTCATTCAGGAGCAGGTTGTTCAGTTTCCATGCAGTTGTACATTTTTGAGTGAGTTTCTTAATCCTGAGTTCTAATTTAATTACACTGTCATCTGAGAGACTGTTTTTTATGATTTCCATTCTTTTAGATGTTGTTCATATCTATGAACACATACATAATGGGAGAGATTGATGGCTCTTGCCATCAATTACATTACATTAAAACTGATATACATAATTTCCCCTATACAAATTGCGTGACTACAAGAGTGAAGATTTTTATGAACTATTTGTGTGTGTGTGTGGAAGAAGAGTGATTTTTGAAGTCTTTGAAAAGAAGGAAGGATTGAATGTGCCTGTTGATTATATTGTGATGTTCTTTTGCCTCCAAAAAATTTAGAGTTGGGAGCATCTACAACTGTGGGGATACCAATAATGCTCATTTCTGTTTCATAATACTTACTGTGTTTTTTCCTGATATTATAGTCTTGCTTTTAAATGTATTGGGCTGAATATCTTTCTTTACATTTTTAGTGTGTCCTGTACAAATAATTCTTAGTCATTTTTTTCACTATACATTTCCTTGCAGCATGGTCTACATGTCCCCTATTTGATCACAGTGTAAATTCTGAATTGACACCTCCCACATGTTAAGTTGACAGCTGCATAACCTCAAAATGCATTCTGGCAATGATGAATGCCAATATTTTATGATGACATCCCAGGAATTTGATTGCAGCTGCCCACTAATATGAGTGGTATCTTTATTATTTGGTGAATTAAACAGACACATTAAGTACATTTGTAGCCAATGCTAGATTGTAAAATAATATATTTCTTATAGTGAACAGTGAGAAACAATTAAAATGTCCATCAATGGAGGAATGGTTAACTAAATTACGGTACAGCTATGCCATGGAACGCCCCACAAAGTAGCCTGACCTGTGTCAGGCTCTCTATTAAGTGCTTTATACTTGTTTCATTTAATTCTCAGAACAACCTTGTGAAATTCCCATTTTATAGATGAGGACAAGAAGACTTGTCCAAAGTCACATAGTAAATGGTGCAATAGTTAGACCTAAGTTCTATGTACCTCCAAATCCATTTTCTTATCCAGTTATACTCACCTAGCTCATGAATGTCAAAGCTATACATACTGTTAACTCTCTTTTCATGGAGATTTGGTTCAAGATGAACATTAAGTTATATAACCAGAGAGGAGAGGAAGAGACTTAGGTCATAGTAAAATTAAACCTATCTAAATGTCAATGCTAAATTACTTCCAAAGGAGGTAAGTTTTCTGCACATTCCATAACTGAAAGGAAATTCAAGAATATACACCAAAATTCTGACAATATGTGCTATCTAAGTCAGGATTTTCATGTATTCTCAGGGCTGACACTCTGTTTAAAATGACAAATTATAAGTGAAGAGAAAAGCCATACTTTTGCTCAAATATAATTATTGATACTGCAAAATATCCCTTGTATGTTTATCTTTATAACTTCTCATTCTTTTAATATTTACAGATGGACAAAAGAGAAAGAAATCTTTAAGAAAGAAACTGGATTCACTAGGAAAGGAGAAAAACAAAGATAAAGGTAAAAGATAAAGTAACTAATGCAAATCCATCTACCATGGAGCATAATGGTTAAATTTGGTGGGGTTTTGAATTGCATAGATATACGTGGTTCAACTCTGTTATGAAAACCGGATTTCTACAATGGAATGCCATTAAGCGCTGTCTTGGTCTACTCTTCTGTGTTTGAATAGCACTGTACTGAACTGATGAATTCAGCTGGTTTGAGGAGAGTTTGACCTCAGCCAAGTTTATGGTTCCAATTATGATTTCGACCAATCAGCTATGCATAAAGAGGACTTGGGTTGTGTAGCCAGGGACAGCATCTCTAACACTAACCAGCTGTCTGACAAATCCAGACAGGCAGGGTTAGTTGAATGAGAGCTTGAATTCACCTACCATGACTACTGGAAAGAAACAGTCTCATCCTCATGAGTTATTGAAGATAGCATTTTTTTTCACCCAGCTGAAAAATATTTATTTGCAACTAACCTGAATGCTTACATTTTATTTTGTTACATTGCCTCAGCCAAGATACGTTAAAGCAAATGCCCTTAATATTTTGGGGGTCACAGAGTCCTTTAAGAATCATTGACAACAATGAGGCTCTACCAAAGGCCCGAAACTCACCCAGTGCCCACCCCATCACCCCCTAAATTAAGAATTCCTAGATCAGACATTCAGTTGAGTTAACAAGTATTTTCCTTTTTAAAAATCCAGGGGCTTTAGGGAATAGTCAGTGGCTGTCAATATTTTTTTAACTCTTGTTTTACGTTCAGGGGTACACGTGCAGGTTTGTTATATAGGTAAATTGTGTGTTGCAAGGGTTTGTTGTACAGATTATTTCATCACCCAGGTAATCAGCATAGTACGCAATATGTGTTTTTTTTAATTCTCACCTTCCTCCTACCCTCTACCCTCAAGTAGGCTCCAGTGTCTCTTGTTCCCTTGTGTCCATATGAACATGATGTTTAGGCTCCCACTTATAAGTGCATTCTCAGCATTTTTATGTTAGATCACAGTATGCTCATCTTTTGCTTCATATGTTTTGGGGATTGTTTACTCTCATCATACTGTTTTGTGTCCCCTTCTGCATCTATTTAGGGAACTAAAACTTAAGCCACTCTCTCAGAGTTATTTATGGTTATTTAAAACTAATATTCTTCAAGCCCACATAATGGATGCCTGAGCCACATTGACATAATCTCATTTTTTGTGGCTTTTTTTTTTTTTTTTTTTTTTGACAGAGTCTTGCTCTGTTACCCAGGCTGGAGTGCAGTGGCATGATCTCAGCTCACTGCAAGCTCCGCCTCCTGGGTTCAAGCAATTCTCCTGCCTCAGCCTCCCAAGTAGCTGGGATTACAGGCACACACCACCATGCCCAGCTAATTTTTGTATTCTTAGTAGAGATAGGGTTTCACCATGTTTGCCAGACTGGTCTCAAACTCTTGACCTTGTGATCTGCCTACCTCAGCCTCCCAAAGTACTGGGATTACAGGCCTGAGCCACCATGCCCTGCTTTTTGTGGCTTATTTTTATGGTCCCTTATGAAGTCGTTGCTGAATGGTACAGTTATATGCATTTATTTTCATTTTATGTGACACAGTGAATGAGTCTTGAATGAGAACAGCCATACACATCTCATCTTGGAGTCCTTTTATGTAATGATTGAATTTCTGCTTTAAAAGTAATGGAAGGCAATGAAACCAAGGATATTAAAAAATGCATTGGTATCGGTGTTGGACAGGAGCTATTCCATACCATTGATCTCAGTCTCTACACCTATATCTTGAACCGTTATAACATTTGGTTCTTTGGACTAAAAAAGATGAAGAATTCTAAAGAATGGAAAACCATTGTTTTACTTCCTTTGGAGTGAGGTTTCTCAACCTTACTACTGTTGTCATTTTAGACTGGATATTTATCAGGGGTAGGGGCTGTTCTGTGCATTGTGAGATGTTTAGCAGCATCCCTGTCCTCTACTCACTAGATGTCAGTAACACCACCCTCAACCCAAATATCTTCAGACGTTTCAAATGTTTACCTCAAATTAGAAAAAGATGAAAGTATCAGTGATCTCAGCCCCTAATTACACAGTAGAATCACTTGTGGAACCTTTAAAAATTCCAAGACCCCCACCCAGGGAGTCTGCAGGAATACCTCAGGCGTGGGTATTTTTAAGAGCTTCTAATGTGCAACTTCTAGGATAACAACTCTGATTCATATTAACTAGGATAATCACTAGGGCACGTTCTGTCACAGCTGAATCTACTGCTGGAATAATGAAGGCAAAGGGTTGTCCAGCTACCTATTATAGTCTGATAAATTGTATTATATTTAGTTGAAATGTTTGTGCCCTTATTTTTGTAATGACCTAAATATTAGGAGCCAGCATTGCTCTTTTAAACTATAGTTTTTCCTCATTCTATTCCTGCAGTAGAGCACTTCAACATCTCTAGATTCGAGCAATTTTCCATATGTATATAGAGCATATTAAAGGGATCACTCAGGTTGGTATTAATAATGCATTCTCCTTTAAATTTGATTTATTCTAGGATGATGATATTGATATTGGGATTTAAACACATCTAATGTAGACTTTAAGTGATTTTTCAGAAAGTGTCCATTTGGCTAGACTAAGCAGAATGAGCATTTTTGCAGGAGGGGATAGATGTTCCCTCAGCAAAAGTAGATGTAGGTTTCCTTGCATGTATTATATACAAAACAGCAGGAAGCAAGAATTTGAATTAACAGGGAAGGAAGGTCCAGGGAAGTAACTGACCAATACATACTGGGCCATTATACATTTTTTAACTAAATTATATTTGCATAGGCTCAGTGAAAACTCTACAATGTTCTATACTGCCTCAATGGTAGCTAAGTGGGAAAAGGAAGGTAGGTCCTGGTGGTTCCAAAGAAAAGGCGTATCACCCACTCAACTAAGGGGAGAAATATCAGGCTTCATGGCAAAGAAAAAAAAAAGGTTTTCTTTTTAAAAGTAGCATTAATGTTTAAAAACAAAGTATCCTAGGCTTAAGTGAAGGTTAATTATATGGCATCTTTTTAATTATATGGCATCTTTTCAGAACATAAAACCCTGTCCATGTCAGCACTGGGAGGACATCAATGTCCTGGGAACCAAGGTGTGAGGGGAGGGGCGCTGTGCTGGTCTGGCACAGATATAATCTATTCACATTATTTCCTTCCAGTTAGATATTAGCATTTAAGTTTGTAACAGCTGCACATGTTAAAAATGATCATTTGAATCCAAGAGTAAAAGAAGGAAAACAGGAAACTCTAAATGATCTCTTGAGTTAGGTCATCTAAAAATAACTAGAAGCAGCCTTTTAGAATCGAATTGCTCTCCTAATAGTGATTCATAAATGGTTGATATGCTACCATATTAATTGATTTCATCAGACTGAATCATGTCCTGTATGTTATTTAATTGCCTTGTTATATAGCGTATCATGTGACACTCCTGTGTTCCTCATGCCACTTAAGCAGTGCTCATGTGACTTTTGATTTACATATGGAAACTAATTCAAGATTGACACTGGTTCAGAAATGTATTTTCATGCAGAATAATTCCAAGTCCTTAATTTCTCTTAGTTATATTTCTCGGTGACCAAAAGTGTTTTTAAGACTTTCAGAACTTCAGGAAATTTCTTTCTTGTGTCAAAAGGAAATCAGTGTTTTTGGGTGGAGGGGTAAGTAATTTTAAAAATAGCTACTTTGTTTTATTAATGTGCTTCCTAAACTGATCACATGGTGAATTTACTATGATGTAACTCTGGGAGATTGTACTCCCCAACCCCTTCCAGGACATTTTCTGATTATGCCATATATTTATCCACATACAATCTGGAAAGAGTTCAATCCTGGCACTGTTCTTTATGGTGAAATCATATTGTATTATGTTTTATTTTCTGCACTGTCTAGGTATGTTACTGTGAGCTGTGAAATAACACTATGTACAAATAGCTCATGTAACTCTTAATTTTGCTCCATATTAAATAGCATATCAAGTATCAATTATCACTATGTAGAAATTCTCAAAGAACATATATTGAATCTTGTCATTGAGTGCTAGTAATTCTAGGATAAGAAGAGAAGAAATAACTAGGGGGTGTGTGGTTTCTGAGATTAGAAAGGGGCCAGCTCACACAGTACTGGGTCACAGCACAACTTTTGATTTGGAAGTTCAGGAGAAAGATAATGGTACCTTGGACTGGGGTGAGAGTGATGGTGGATGTGGAGAGAAGTGGATGGAAAAGAGAGATAATGTGAAAGTGATATGATAAAGATTTTATTATGGAGTGAAAATGGGATGTAAGGTGTGGAGTATCAAGGTTGACTCTCAGATTTCTGGTTCTTCCACATGAAGAACAGGCAAACTTTTGGAAATCTGAGTAAGACATGATAAGAGAAGATAAAGAGCCGGGCGCGGTGGCTCAAGCCTGTAATCCCAGCACTTTGGGAGGCCGAGGCGGGTGGATCACGAGGTCGAGAGTTCGAGACCATCCTGGTCGACATGGTGAAACCCCATCTCTACTAAAAAAAATACAAAAATTAGCTGGGCATGGTGGCTCGTGCCTGTAATCCCAGCTACTCAGGAGGCTGAGGCAGGAGAATTGCCTGAACCCAGGAGGCGGAGGTTGCGGTGAGCCGAGATCGCGCCATTGCACTCCAGCCTGGGTAACAAGAGCGAAACTCCGTCTCAAAAAAAAAAAAAAAAAAAAAAAAAAAAGAGAAGATAAAGAGTAAGAAATCCCTTTGGGACATCCAGATATGAAAGTGGAAGAAGTGGTTGGTGCTCAAAGAAGGATTCTGAGCTAGAGGTAGCAATGAGGTGTGAAATTTCTATGGATGAAAGTTTAAGTTATGGGCATCATGCTATTACTTACAGAGAGAGACCAGAGTGATGAGAAAGGTTAAGAGTGAGTTCTGAGGACCTTCCACATTGAAAACTCAGGTAGAAGATGATAAGCCAGAAGAAAATGGTCAAGAATGTAGCCATAGAGGTAGAGGAAAACCCAGTTAGTATATCCAACATGCAAAGGTCAGGGAGCATTTCAGGGAATGTCAGTCAGGTTTAAAGGCTGCAAAAAGGGCAAATGAAACAGAGCTGTCAACAGACACTGAATTTAATGACCCTGAAGACAGCAATGACTTGGAGGGAGCTGCTTTAGAATCCAATGGAGGTATCAGCTAGATGGGATGAAATGAGGAAAGAATAGTAGTTGAGAAAGTTATAGGCCAGAAAGTAAAGGAAACACTTCAGAGAATTTTAACTGTGGTAAAAGGAAAGGGGGTAAACTGTGGAGAAAAGAAAAGAGTGGGTCCAGGGTTATTTATTATTTTAAGAAGTAGCTGCTTGAACATATTTAGTATAAAATATCTAGTAGAAAAAAGAGGTTGAAGATACAGGCACAAGAAGATGTAATTAATAGCAGGGGTGGCCCACCAGCTGTCTTTGTAAATAAAGCTTTACTAGAACACAGCCATGCCCATTCATTTACTTACTGTCTGTGGCTGCTTTCCCGCTAGACTGGCAGATTGAGTAGCTGTTACAAAGAGTGTGCAACCAGCCAATACGGTGGAGGCTAGAGTGAGGCAAATTGATCACCTAGGCCACAAAATAGAAGGAAATGCTCAGTCTGCAAGCTGACTCTGCAATTGCCCCATGCTGAATGCAAGCACTTTATCATTTTGCATCCTAGCCCTTCTAAGCCCCAGCCGTGTCAACAAAGCCTAAAATATTTACTCTCTGGTCCCTTATAGAAAGCAATTGCTGAACCCTACTTATACTCTAAGAGTATTAGGGTAATTTTTTGTACTCTTGAGTACAGTACAACATTGTCCATGGTTCAAAGTTATCAATAGTTGAATGGCAGGTAGGAGAGCATGGGAAACAGGGAGAGGCAGAAAGGCTGGCAGGATGCAGAGTCATACCTCCATAGCATGCAAAGGGAGGTGGTAGAAGGCACAGGTACAGCAAGTGTGAAGAGTTGGAGCCTTTGTACCTGCTGGTTGCTCTTCTCCTGAATCAGGAGGCAGAATTATTTGCTGGTGGGGAAGATCTGCACCAGAGGTATAAGAAATCTGTAAACGACTCTGGTTGGTTTTCCTTATATGGAAAAAATGACTGGGGAAGGGCTCAATAGTCCCCATCTTATAGTAAATCCCTGCCATGCATATGCCTATCTGAGCAGATGTGTCACTTGCTACATTTATCAATGTTCTTTTCACTCTAATTATCCCCCTCTGTTTCTGTTATTTCATGTAGCTGTCAGCCTTACCATCCACATGTTTCTAGACTTTTGCAACCTTTTAAAAGTAATGTTTGATTATTTCTACAGACAGCATTATATATATATATATATATATATATATATATATATATATATATAGTCTTCAGGGTGCATAACAGGAGATCTGGTACTATCCCCTCTGGTTTCTAATTTTGCTAGGAGTAGACACAGCCTATTATCAATAGTGAGAATTATACCTCAATACACTGTCCACATTGATCACTCAAAGAATTATTTTTTATTACCGTATATCACCTAGCTTGTTGCTAAAGAATGGCAACTATCCTCTGAAAATTCCAAAAAGGTTTGTTTTTTTACTTCACAATAAATTGCATGTTTTGATAGAACCAGAGGTTCAGGCTTTTCAAGTAGTATTTCTGCTTTTAATGTAGACTTGGCCTTTTAAAGTCCTTTACCTGATTTTAATGTTAGCCTTTTCTTTCAAAGAACAACCAACATTGGAATTATTTTCCCTTGATCACTCTAGTTTCATCCATAGGGCTTATAAAAACAATGGAGAGGTTAGATTCCAACTTACTGATGCTAGGAGACCTAATTTGGAATCTAAAAAGAATAATACATTTGACTATTATTAGTGCCTTTCGGCATGAATCTAAAATATTGCTAATAAAATGCTTGGCCTGAAGGATCCAAGGTATATGTATACAAACAGATTTATGACAGAAACTCAGAAAGGAACTGTATGCAGGTCTCCAAAAAAAAAAGCCATCAATTTCTGTACTATGCCCCTTTCCCCAAATTGTCCTTACTAGAGGATTTAACAAATTGTTTCCTGGGCCTCCCGCCAGATGTTTAGTATCCCACTCTGCATGTGGCGAGCAGAGTGGCTTGAGTGTAGATCATGAGAGTTACAGCCCCAACCAGCTGGCTGAAAATAGAATGTGCTCTTCTGCCTCTCATGTTATCACTTCACATGCTGACTCTTACTGGAAACCTCAAAGTGTATTCAGTTAATTAAATTTCAGCCTTAGCTTTATGCATCTCTCTATTATAACACCTGATAGTCACTCTGTTATCATGATTTGCATTTCTGATTCTCTACTCCTTCACCCCAACCCACACTCTGAATGTAGAGGGGAGATCCCATAAGCGCAGAGGCAGGAGCAAAAGGCCTCAGCCTATTTTCCATATAAATAATGAAGAAGAAAGTAACTAGAAATATAACTGTAGTAGTTATTAGTTATTCATATGTGATCTTAGTTATTCATAAGTGATCTTAATTCTTTTACTAATACCTCTCTGGTCAGAAGTGTGAACCTGGGGTGACACTGTGAAATGAATGACACTAAGGCAAGATGCTTTAAGCTCTCTGTCATGTCCCATAAGGGCTGCTGGAGGTCGCCTCAGCTGTGTGGCAGCACCAGCGCTGTGAAAGCGCCTGCTGCTTAGCCAGCTAGGGAAGAAGATGTCCAAAATGGCCGAGACATCTCCTTCCTGGGGAAGTTTGGAGAAAACTCCGCTTCTCCATGCTCTTGTGGTAAGACCTGACAGCTGTCAGGTAGGCCCACAGACATCCAGGGGCTTAACTGTCTCTATGTGATGCTGTGCTTCAGTGGTCACATTCCATGTCTACTCTTATGTTCTGCTTCTGCACCTGGTTCCTTTTTACTTAGAAAACATAATCAGTAATAGTAATATACATCTTAATGTTTTAGTTCTTTCTTGATAAGTGTGGAAAAGTGCTGATGCATTATGCACCTTACCTTACTTCAGGTGCGAAACTCCTGAGCCCCTACCTGAATGGCACGTGATGTACTTGACCTTATCGCTGCCACGCCGTATCTACCGCGCCCCCAGTCTCTGACCACCAAGACCATGCCCTACCTACCCTGCCTCCAGATTTGCAACTCAATAAAAGTGAGAGAGAGAGCGTCCAGGCATTTGGTGTTTGGGGCCACTGCTGGTCTCTACACTTTGGGTAGCAGTGGACCCCTCGGCCCAAACTCTCTTTCTCTGTGTCTTGTGCCTTTTGTTTCTACAATTTCTCATCTCCACACCAGCCAGGAGGGGCTCACAGAACCCTATAGGGCTGGACCCTATACTGAACACCTCAGGAGAAAGGACTGTATCTTTTATAAGCTTTGCACCTCCCATTGACTAGCTTGTTGTGGCATGTAGTAGGCATTCAATAAATGCCTGTTTGAATGAATGGACAGACTTGAGACATGTGGAGAAAAAGTAGAGACCTAGGTGTCTAAGATATGTGTTTATAAATACTAGTTTTCTTTATTGAAATGGAAACTTGGGCCATTGTGATAAGCACAAATGTCACCTTTGTATTTTGACTGATGAGTCAGTTCTTCAGAAAACATTTCTTTGAATATGTCTGTCCTTACTTAGCTCTTAAACATAAATGAGAGTGTTTTCAATGGTCCAGTCAGTCTCTGAAAGTGAATGTCTGTTTTTTTGATTCCAGAATTCATCCCACAGGCATTTGGAATGCCCTTATCCCAAGTCATTGCAAATGACAGGGCCTATAAACTCAAGCAGGACTTGCAGAGGGACGAGCAGAAAGATGCATCTGACTTTGTGGCTTCCCTCCTCCCATTTGGAAATAAAAGACAAAACAAAGAACTCTCAAGCAGTAACTCATCTCTCAGCTCAACCTCAGAAACACCAAATGAGTCAACATCCCCAAACACCCCGGAACCGGCTCCTCGGGCTAGGAGGAGGGTAAGGTGGCCAGTATTTGCTCTGACACCAGTGTTAGGAAAACTGAAGATGTACAGTTATTCTTTGAGGTTTTGTTCATGTGAAAACTGGTTATGTAGTTGGTGTTCAGATATCTGTCAACAACTCCATTAATGAAGAATGCACTGGGCATGTGGCACCTGGCATAGACTCAGACCTTGTCCTGACTCCTCTCGAAGCTGTTGGATATCCCCCCTTTGTCACTTCTGTGCTCCATGCTCTCCTAAACATTCAACAATATCACCATTGATTCTGGTCTCTTGTAATCCATCAGTCTTGCTAGACTTGACTGCTAGACTGGAGTCTCAAGGGCAGGGTCCGGTGTTTTAGCTATTAATACCTTCTTCATCACTGGTCTGAGAACATGCCTGGCCAACTGAATTGGCAGTGAGTCTTCCTAAACAATGAGCTTTTTCCTTATCAATGGAACATTTCATTTTCTCAAACAGAACCATAGAATCCTCTATATATCCTCTTTCAAAACAATACTCTAACAATGTGATACCAATTGCTGAGTACTAGGTTCTAGGCAGTGTGCTATTATTTGAATTCTTCAGGCAAACTGGCTGGTGATTGGCTGAGTCAGTTGATAAGCATCTCTAAAGCTTCCAGGTTACTGGGAGATCTTCTCTTCCTTTTTTAAAACAGATCAGCATTTTATTTTTATTTTTTTGATTCAGGGTCTCACTCTGTTGCCCAGGCTGGAGTGCAGTGGTATGATCACTGCTCACTGCAGCCTCAATCTTCTGGGCTCAAGCAATCCTCCTGCCTCAACCTCCCCAGTAGCTAGGACTACAGATGCACACCACCATACTAGCTAATCAAATGCACACCATCATGCCTAGCTAATTTTTTTTTTTTTTTTTTTTTTTTTTTTTTTAGTAGAGGTGTGGTCTCACTGTGTTGCCCAGACTGGTTTTAAACTTTCTAACTCAAATGCTCCAAAGTGCTGGGATTACAGGCATGAGCCACCACACCTGATCTTCTCTCCCTTTTCTCTCTGTCACTTGGGGATCCTTAACTTCTGCCACCTCCAGCTGTTGAAGACTGTCCTAGTTAAAAACACCAGACACTTCCCACATAAAACCCACATTTCACAATCAGCCCCTAACATTCATTGCTTCTCCAAAGTAGAGGGAGACCTGATCCATTGTTTTTGCTGTATTGACCATGTTTAAAAATGAAGAAACTACAAAATTATGGAATGCCTGAATTTGCATGATGGAATTGTTCTTCTAATTGTGTCATTGTATCTCAGACTGTATTGTCATACAACAATGACACTAAACCTCTAAATTTTAGCTTTCTGGGAAGGTAGGGCTCAGGCAATGAGTCTCCCAAATGTCCTCTCCTCTGTCCAGGCCTGGCTAGCCAACTGCTTTCTCAGTGCTTCATCAAGTATGGGTGGCTATGGCAAATGCAATTGGTGCCGTGCTCCCTTTCCCTGACCCTTTACCATTCCTAGCATGCCAGCTCACCTTCCACCTGCCAACACCTTCTTTGCTGAGGGCTTTCTCTGATGCCAGAGTCACCCAGCCCATGCAGATGGAAGGCTGTTAAGTACTTAGGAGATATTATTATCTCTCTGCCCCCCACCAGAGGCTGCCCTTAAGCAGTGATGCCTGAGGCTTGATGTATAAATACCCCAGCTCTCTCATTTGATAGGGATAGCTCTGAGGTGCATAATACATAGCTGTCTCCTAGAGCTCCGCAGAAAGACTGAGCTCCAGTTGCCCGCAATGGTAATAGGCTTAATAATGCTCCCTTCATCAGCTGCCTTTCCTTCCTTATCTCATTTCCCCATTCCCCTACTGGCATTTCCCAGGACCACCTCTCTAGTAAAGTACTTTGTGCTGTTTCTCAGGAAAATTAAGCTAAGGCTGTTTAGTGGAATTATTCCACTTTAAAAATCCTAGAGCCATAGTTTTTTATTTACAAGACTTCTCTGACTACCTCATTCATTGAGTATGTAATTTTTTTCTTGTTTCAAGAAATGAAGTGATGGGGCCAAAATACTTTAATTATATGTTTCCCATTGCTTGTCTTCCATTTGGAAATTTTTGGCTATTGTTGAAATTGTAACTGCCTTTACCTTGAGGAAACCTTGTAGAGGTTTTCTAACTTTTTCAAAAGGCATCTTTTTTTAAAATATACAAACAGTACAATTAATGCAATCAAGCAGTATTATTTTAAGTATGATAGAGTCACGAGCAAAGTATGTATTGGCTAGCATCTGGGGGCAGCTGTTTTTCTTGGCTATCTGTATTTTTGTTCATGGCTCTGCGTCACTTGCAGGGTGCCATGTCAGTGGATTCTATCACCGATCTTGATGACAACCAGTCTCGACTACTAGAAGCTTTACAACTTTCCTTGCCTGCTGAGGCTCAAAGTAAAAAAGAAAAAGCCAGAGATAAGAAACTCAGTCTGAATCCTATTTACAGGCAGGTCCCCAGGCTGGTGGATAGCTGCTGTCAGCATCTAGAAAAACATGGTAAGTAGACTTGTCTGTCTAAAATACTAATTCAAATACTTATTCAAGCATCATTCATTAAAGTACCCAATTTCAATTGTGTTCATTTGATCATGCTCTGAGCTGAAATTTTCTGTGTAAATGTGTACAGATGTGTTTGCTAAGAAATTGTGGGGCTAAACAAGATCGGAGGAGGGGGTGAATCAACTTGATGATATTCAGACTACTTAGCTCCCAGTAGTCCTCAGAAGTGACCTTGGAGGCCAAGCAATTTAGGGAAGGGTCAGGTCTGTTGGACTGGGTTTGTCACCAGGACTTCTTCCAAACAGACCAGAGCCACTTTTATTAATTGTACATAAAAGTAGCCTAGGAGGTTACTCACAAGGATTCCTTTAAAAAGTAAGAGTCCAACCTAAAAAAAATTGGGGAATCATTGCTTAAGTGAATAGAAAATACATCATTTTTGACAACAGGTTTACATATTGCTATTTGCATCTTTGTGGAAGCTATTCACTTAAAATTTCTCCACAGTCACCCTTTGCAAGTCAATTCTAGTTACTAAGTTGACTTAAAAATCATATACAGTTCTTTAAAACTTTTTCTGAAATTTAGACTTCTGGCTTATTAAACTGCCATTTTCATAAACTAAATTTGTTTGCTGTAATGTTAGCACATGTTTTATGTACATGAGAAAAGTTTACTTTTTACTATAAAAATAATAGCTCATTGTAATAGAGTAAATGTGAGAGCAAAGAAAATTCTGAGGTTACCATATAGACATAACTACTATTAACATTCTCATCTGTTTGCTTCCTAAGAAAAATTGAACTTTATTTAAAAATTGTTAAGAATATATCTAAATTTCTTAATTCATTATAATGGAAATCACTGGATAACACATGGATAACCTAAAACTAATGTAGTAAAATCTTGTTTATACAAAATTTTAAGTGTAGGGTTTTTTTTCCATCTTATCTTTCACATGCCTGTGTACTACCTATGTACATACCTTGAACGTACCTCTCCCTGTATACACACACACACACACACACACACACACACACACACACACACAGTCACGTACCACATAATGACATTCCCATCAACGATCGACCAATAGGCAATGGTCATTGCATAAGATTATAATACTGTAGTTTTACTGTACCTTTTCTATAGTTAGATACACAAATACTTAACATTTTGTTACAGTTACCTGCAGTATTTAACACAGTCACATGCCGTCAGGTTTGTAGTGTAAGAGCACTAGGCTCTACCATATAGCATAGGTATTTAGTAGGCTATACCATCTAGGATTGTGTAAGTACACTCTATGATGTTTGCACAGTAATGAAATTGCCTGATTTATTGCTTCTATCAATTGGGTAACTAGGGAAAAAATCACACTATTTAGAATAAAATACAGAATTGTATTTCTTCATCTGCGCAAATGAACATAAGTACTCACCTCAAAAGTTCTGCAGTGATTCAATTAATTAACGTGCATACAATACTTAGAATAGTACTTGGCATATATTATTATATAGAGAGAAATAGACCCTGAATGAACTGAATGACTCTTCTATGTATGAAATAGAAAACTTTAATAGTAGGTCTCAGTAATTTTAATTCTGGCTGCATTTACTTTTTTATTTTCACATGGTTTCTGAATAATTTAAATTTCTACAGAAGCAAGATATCACATAAGGGCGTTTTCTACACAAGTGGGACTATTCTCTTCCTATCAAGAGATAGAAAAGACAACTAAAACAAATTGAGATGTTTACTTTGTTTTTGGATGTAAAGAAATAATGTTATAAAGAGTTAAGGCTGGCACTGTGATTCACGCCTGTAATCCCAACACTTTCGGAGGCCCAAGGCAAAAAGATTACTTGAGCCTGGGAGTTTGAGACGAGGCAGGCAATATAGCAAGACTCCAACTCTATATAAAAAATCCAATTATTTCTGATTTAATTATATGTTGTACTAGTCATAAATTTTTCAGTGCCAAGAGAAATGTACCCAAAAGGTACCCAAATAAAATAGGTTAAGCAAAGTGACCTCCCACAAATAACAACCATCTTTATTTATATATTGGGAGCTTGATCTAGATTTAGGCAGAGCTGGGTCCAGGATTCAAATGATGTCATGATTGTCCTCTGTTTGCTGGCTTTACTCTCAGACCAGCTGTCTTCATGTGGTGGCCATCACTCTCATAACTGAATCTCCCAAATGAAAAGAAAATTTGCCACCAATGAAAGAAGTAATGTACATGATGCTCGTCAATGGCAATGACTAATGACTGGCATAGAAAAAGGAGAGCCATTCAGACATTCCATGCTCCCAAAGGAAGTATGCAATACTTTTTGTGAAGTATTCTTGCCCTATAAAATCACACCACAGTCAGAAATCTCTGGCTTTAGCTATCTCTTTACAGAAAATAAAGGGGAGAGAAGAACATATAAATAACACCATGGAGCATCCAAATCCAGACAATATGTAGATCTACAGTAGGAAATCACTGAGATTTCTTCACTAAGCCAATTATAAGGAAAAAGGAAATAAAAGGGGGAAACACAGATTAAGGGACTAAAAGGCACATAGACCATATCACAGTGCGTGTCCATTATGTGGATGTTGACTGGAAATTTAATGCTATTAAGAAACTATTGCTGAAATTTCTAGTATGTGATAGTAAAATTACTTGTGTTTTTAAGAGACCTAATTTTTTAGAACTGGGTTTCTCAACCTCAGCACTGACACTATATTCTCACGTCTAGGACATGATCCTAGGAAAAGCAATAAGAAATGTGAACAAAAACATATCCACAGTGTTGTTCACAGTAAGGTCATTTATAATAGCAAAATAAGCATGTATATTTTGGGGACCTGTTCACCATTTAGAGGGGAATATGTAGTAAATTGTGGCCCATTCATACAATAGAATATTTGGCATCTTTTTTCATATTTCCATAGATTTTTAAGGAACAGGTGGTATTTGGTTACATAAGTTCTTTAGTGGTGGTTTGTGAGATTTTGGTGCACCCATCACCCGAGCAGTATGCACTATACCCAATTTGTAGTCTTTTCTTCCCTTTTAAGTGACATTTACAAGGAAGTGTTACCAGCATGAATGAAAATTCTTGTGGCATAAGAAAGGCAGTAGCATTTTCTCTGTTAATAGATAGATATTATATATGTGCAGTGTGAGCTTAACTATGTAAAAATACATACATTCATGTAGAAAAGGCTGGATTTTAAAAGTGAAATATTAGCTAGGCATGGTGGCTCACACCTGTAATCCCAGCAATTTGGGAGACCGAGACTGGCGGATCACTTGAGCCCAGGAGTTGAGCTTGAGCCCGGGCAACATGGCAAAACCCTGTCTCTCCAAAACATACAAAAAAAAAAGTACTCAGGCATGGAGGCATGTGCTGGTAGTCCCAGCTACTCTGGATGCTGAGGTGGGTCAATCACTGGAGCCCAGGAGGTCAAGGCAGCAGTGAGTCGTAATCACACCACTATACTCTAGCATGGGCAACAGAGTGTGACCCTGTCTGAAAAAGAAAAAAAAAAAAAGAAGAAGAAGAAGAAACTTAAGAGTGACTATTTCTGCATCAGGTATTTCTAAAAGTATATTATTTTTACATTTTTCTCCATTTTCTAGATTTTCTTTAAGAAGCACACTTTATAGTCAGACAAATATTTTTTAAAATTGATAAAGAGCTAGAATCCCTATAGAATGTGTGTTTAGGTAATAATTCTGAATAATGAAATAAAAGCTCATTTCTCTGATAAGGAGAAGGTTAGAAATATATAATATCACATGAAAATATTTGATCAGAAACATTAAACATAAAATTCTGGTGCTTAGAGGGCTGACCTTTAAGTGTCTGGAAAACAGAAATAGTGTGAGATGAAAGAAGCTTTACTGTATGCTGCCAGGTTACTATTGCTCTGCATGTTATGGCACTGTGCTGGCATTCTGCTCTCCTTCTATTTTGATTTCCTCCAGAGTCTCAAGCCATAAAACAAGACTGTTGATTTTGTTTGCTTATTTTCAGGCCTCCAGACAGTGGGGATATTCCGAGTTGGAAGCTCAAAAAAGAGAGTGAGACAAGTAAGTAAAAAGTAAAGATTATATTTTATGTTTTACTTGACTTTCAGTTCAATTACCTTTTGCAAAGTTCAAGTCTATGCAAATTCAATTTTGATTATGTTTTTTTTTTTTTTTTTTTTTACCCTCCAAGCTATTATAATATAATTGAATTCCAGGAGGTAAAAGGCAACAACTCAGAAATGTTGTTACAGTTAGGCTCAAACACTTGAAAGCAAAACACATGGCTGCATCTGTGGCATGTGCAGCCAAACAAAACTAATTTATATACATCTTATTGGCAATTGCAAAAGCAGGAAATTCAGAGTACCCGATCAATAAGTGATAGAAAATAATTGTATATAGCATCTATTTTACTAAAATGTGATACTAAAAATGCCGTTAATATTCCCTTCACATAAGATGCTATTATAGCTTTACTTTATCAAAAATAAATAATTCTTATGAAGTTTTCATAGAACCATTGACCCCCAGTACGCTTTTCACATAGGGACTGTGCTCCTTTGTTTCCTTCAGCCCTGTGCAACATTCCTGCCACGAAGTTTGGTATTAGACCTCCAACAATAGGTTCCTGTGATGAGGCAGGTATTCGTGTTTGTAATGGCTTCATAAAACACAAACCATCCTTTGAGAAAAGAGTTCATTTGTTGGTGAAGGAAAATTCAATCATTATTTTCTTTATGTTGTTTTCAGTGAAAGGAAATAAGGAACTCAGCAACTTGAAAATTAATTCAAATGAAAATGAATTTTAGTTGGATGAAGCTGAAGAAATGACATTTGTTCATATTATTGAAAGTAATTGAAATAAATACATCATATATATTTTTTGTCAAGACAAAAAAGGCTTTCAAAAGAAGTATGTTTTCTGATTGGCTGGCTAGTTTTTATTCTCACACAAGAAACAACATTAAATGGATCAACATTTAATGTTCCACAACAGAACTTGCAAGAAGGAAGATAGTATGATATTTCGTAGGCCTCCACCTATGCAGAATTGCAGAATATTTTCACAAATATTATCTCATTGAATCTGCCAACCTGCTGTGAGCGTAGCCTCTTTAACACACTTCTGTCAAGGCTTAAAGAGATTAAGAAATGTAAATCAAGATCACACAATTTAACTAGTCACCGTTAACTTCACAGGCCAAGCTATTTGCATGTTCCATTCTTTCTGCATGTCTGTATGCTCAGAAAAGAAGTATGGTGTGTTTGAATGATCACAAGTTGGAGGAATTTCAATGGAAGCCTTTGTTTTGGCTGCCCAACACACACTGATGGCGAGTTGTCTGGAATCAATGAGTGGTTCAGGATAGTGATGGGTATTCATTCTCCTCAAGTGGACAGGTAGCAAATGCCAAAATTTACTCATCAGTTATATCTGGATTCGTCAAAGGGGAAACCTTTGCATGGAGTTGTATTTAAGGATTACCCAATAAAAATATAATTAGTGTTTATTTAGAAGTAGATTTTGACTATGAAATATGCTCTAACTCACTCATCATTTTATTTTGTCATATAACCCCTTTGCACCCTGCACTTTTTTCTTAGATGACTAGCCACAATGTTAAGAGTGAATCATTTGTGGGATTATCTGCTTATCACTTTGTTTCTCTAGAGGTACTTTGCCTCTTTATTCACTAGTGTATTTTGAGGGCCTGTAACAGGGCCTGTGACACAGGGAACCTGTAATAATCTTAGTTGAATGGATGGATGGATAGATGATTGAAAACAAATGAACTCTTAGAGAAGTTTATTGCATAGTGTAGGATTATGAAGTTACATAATTATTTCTACAGCAGAGAATAATGCATAAGAGAAGTTGAGCTTTTAGAGACAAAAGCAGGGCGTGGAGTTATTACACTCCTGTTACTTTGTTTTCTTGCTGCTCTAAGTGCTAATAGACTTAGTGTAATGATTACAGCAGGGAATCCTTCTGGTAATTGTTAATAAGGCTACTTTGACAAATCTAAGACAGTATTTAGTTATTGTCATCTTTTAAGCCTTAGTCATAAATGTCTTATCATGGTTCTTAATTTCATTTTTGCAGAAAAATCTCTTTGTTCTCTTGTCAAGTAACCTCAGTAAAATATCAACATTCAAACATGGCAGGATTGGTGACACACAAAACCACTGTGTAACAAATTAATTCCTCCTTCCCACATTTTAGTTGACCTAAGTTGTTTTCCACCTTTTAGGTGTTCCTCCTAACCTGGTTGTCATTACTGAGCCCTTCTGCCTACATCATTAACAATAAATCCACAGATAGTTTTATTTAATAATGTTTTTAAATATATATACATATATGTATATATATACATGTATATATATACATATATGTATATATATATATACACACACATACATATATATTCATAGCTGGACGTGTAAACTTGACAGATCAAGGTGACATGTTGTTTGCTTCTCTTTCTTGGGGTCTGTACAGACTTAATTCCAGATCCTACGTGTCACAGCACTTCTCTTGCTGGGCACTGCACATTGAGGTATGGTGTTATGTGACTGCCACTCGAACCATTGTTTTTCTAGTTACGTGAGGAATTTGACCGTGGGATTGATGTGTCTCTGGAGGAGGAGCACAGTGTTCATGATGTGGCAGCCTTGCTGAAAGAGTTCCTGAGGGACATGCCGGACCCACTTCTCACCAGGGAGCTGTACACAGCTTTCATCAACACTCTCTGTGCGTAATACAGCCATTTGTGGGAAAGTGGCCCTGGAATACTGAGATGTTCAACTCATTCATCATAACTTTATGCATATGTTTCCCGATAACTTTTTTGTCCTTATTTATCAATCTCTAAAGAGTGGGCTATTTTGAGACATTTCTCAGATTTACCCTGGGAATAATTAGCAAGAAGAAAGTTGCAATAAAACAAATGGAAATAGCCAAGAAGAATTTAAGAGGCTTTGAAATGACCCAAGAACAGTAGAAAGTGCTATGAGCTAATGCTTAGAGTACCAACAAGAGTTCACATTGATTCTGTGCCTAAAATTGAGTTAGTGTTTCTGATATGAAGAAGGAGGGAACCATGGGAACCCAGGGGAAACAAGATGCCAAAGCCCAGTGCCAGGGCTTTCAACATAGCTGCTTCTGGGCTGTAGCTATAAATTCCATGAAGAAAAAAAAAAAAAGGAGAAGGTAGAGGACAGATAGGCCAAACTTGGGTCGGCCTTCATACATTTCTTCCCTCAATGGTACAATTCAAATAGAATTTGAATTGTAGCATTGTACAACAGAGAGAGAAGACATTGTCTTTGCCGTATCTTGGTTATTGCCATCAAAATATCTGTCCTTGCAAATTGCTCAACAGAAAAGAGCCTTAAATCCATTATAAACTCAAACTTCAGAATGTTCACCAATTCTCATTCATTGTTAATAAATATTTACCAAGAATGGAAGACTGAAATCCTTAAACTAGGTGATGAGTAATGCCAGGGAAGGGGTAGAAGAAATTAAGGGAAATTTAGTTACCCTTTTTTTTTTAACCTGGATTACAGTTATTTTTCCAGATATTATACTTCCCCCAGGTCTAATTTTATATCTTTCACAGAAGCTTGCTGCTACATTGCTAAAGTAATGGGCAAGAGAGTGAAGGCATGAAATAGGACTTGCTTTTGATAATCCCTTTCTTAGAACAATTGAGCAGAGGCCTTTCCTCTGTGCCTGAATGGTATGGGCTCCCCTTTTATTTGAGCACCTCTTTTTGCCTTGCTTAGTGTTGGAGCCGGAGGAACAACTGGGCACCTTGCAGCTCCTCATATACCTTCTACCTCCCTGCAACTGCGACACCCTTCATCGCCTCCTACAGTTCCTCTCCATCGTGGCCAGACATGCCGATGACAACATCAGCAAAGATGGGCAAGAGGTAAAATGCATTTGCTGTCATAGATGCTGTGACTCTTCCTCTCCCCTGTTTTAAAAGGGCACATCAGCAAAATGGCCAAACATTTTGCCTGGAGGTAATGACATCTCCACTTTCCAACCTAGCTGCCTATGTAGGAAGAGACTCATGCAGGGCCTTCTCTGGAGGGGCAGTTCCTAAGAGTGCATGGGCCATGAGCCTCCTTATATGTTTCAAGTATGCTTCCAAATAAGGCTGCCATTTTCCATGATGATGCTTTACTCAAGACTCTGAACTTCTATTTGTGAAGAAGAAAAACAATGAGCTACAGAAGTGCTTGCAACCATGTAAAAGTGGATTGATAGGGGTGGAAGGAAACTATTGGCATTGTAATTGATTTTACCTGCTTCTGTAACTTGGAGCCCAAATATGATATCACCTCTTTATTCTTCTAGTTTGTCCCTGGAGCTCCCATCTGCACTATTAGCAAGAAGTCTAGTATCTCCCTTTTAAGGGATCCTTTCCTTTCTTAATCCCTCCCAACAAAACAAGGACTTGCTCAATTCAAGGGAGGGTGAGTCCTGCTTCCAAACCAAGCATGGAGGAAACTAGGTCTGATCTGCTGACCATTGCCATTGTGTCTCAGTGTCATATGATATCAACTGCTCAAAGCAGGTTGTACATAGTCCCACAGACTCTTTAGGGATGTTCTTGTTGCACCTGATCTGCAGTCAGGCCCCAGTGAGCCCCCCACCAAATCTAAGATCTTGGGTTCCGATTCTCTACGGTTACATTCATATTTCAAGATTTTTTTGGTTTCACCCTTGGACAAATGAGATGCTGGCTTCAATTTTAAGTTTCTTACTAATAGGCAACCTATTTAATCTTCAGCTTAACAAGAGAGCCCCCCCCACCTTCCCTCTTTGATACCATGCAGTTATACCTCTCCCTGACCTTGGATTCCTCAGGAGGTTTTAGACTCTTTAATAAGCTAATATGCACTGCAAATCAACAAGAAGGGGCCAGAGGCATTCCAAACTTACTTAACCACAGGAACTTTTTTGTAAATCTTTGTTAAACAAAGTTCAGCTGCATTGTGCCTTGAGTTCTGTGTTTGTCAAATTTCCTTCCCAAATAACATGGTTATATATATTTTTTTCACCCTAATCCAGAAAGGCAATTTTGCATTTCTTCTCATCCTCCTCCTTACGGGTATAAGAATGGAACTCTCCTGACTTAGCCGTTTATCTCTATAGTAGTTATAATTAGTGAAGCCCCAGATGGCTTCAGGTTTCATATGGCACTGACACCTTATTTCAGCATACACATCTCTTTGATGGGCATACTATAATTCTCATAATTGTTAAGTAGTTTTATTACTCATTTGGGTGTCAGCCTTTATCGACTACAGTTATAACAGGAGCTGTAGCATTATCTGCCTAATTGCTGGGGGAAAGCAGAGCTCTGTGTTTAAAGGTACTTCAGTTACTTCTCTGACATTTCTTAAGTACTATGTGAGAAGGAGAAAATTGGGTCTTAGGTAATTAAGAAGGCATTGAGGAGAGCAAAAGGTCCCATTGAAATAATTATTGCCCTTTTAGTATCATTTTCAGACATTCTTTCCATTTAAATGCTGAACAATCTCCATTGCCTATGCCAAAAAGAAGAAAATATTCTTAAATAGGTGTAAATGAAACAGCCTGATGGAATATTAGCTACCATTTATGTCTCTCCTTCCATGTGCTGGCTTTGTGCAAATCCTCTTAACAGGCAAGAGAGATATCACTGCTCCACGTTTTAGAAGCGGGGCAAAGTAACTTAACCTAGCAACCCACAGACAGCTTCCACTTAAGGTTGTACAAGTGGCATACTAGTCCATTTCACAACTCTAGGGGAGGTGCCATGGACCCCATATTCACTGCAGATTTGCAGAATTATTAGGACAGTATTTCAATGGTTGATAGAAAAATATCTTGAAGAAGAGCAATGTCATTATACTGGGTAGTGAGTCAGGTTGGTCCCCTGACTAGTCAAGTCCCAGCTGTGCATGGAACCCAAGACAGTCTAAGATAAAAGAAGTACAGAATAGGAATTCAAAGACCTGTACTGGGGTCTAGGTCACGGTTTCTCGGCCTCTGCACTGTTGACATTTAGACCTAGGAATTCTTTGTCATGGGGCTGTCCTGTGCATTGTAAGATGTTTACCAGCATCCCTGGCCTCTACCCACTAGATGCCAGTAGCAGTACCTCTCCCCTCCCACCAAGTTGTGACAACCAAAAATATCTCCAAATATTTCCAAGTCTCCCCTGAGGGGAAGGGCTCAAAATCGCCCCTGGTTGAGTGCATTTGGTAGCTCTTTAGTTCACTGACCATGTGTTGTTGAAAAATTCTATTAACCTTCCTATACCTGGGTTTCCTCATCTGAACTTGGGAAATGAATATTCTTCAACCAGCCCTAAAGAATGGTTGAGAAACCTAGTATACTATAAGGAATATGAACTTATCCTGGTGACAGTGAAGTTGTAGAATGAAGCCAGGGTTTACAAGGGTTTCTAGACACTCTAGACCTAAACATTGCATCAAAATGAAAGACTAATAGCCAAAGATTAAAGCAGCAGGAGAAATATAAGGAGAGCACTGCTTCCGTGAAATCGTTAGCAGTGACAGGAGATCAGGCAGCTCTCACAGCCATTGCAGATTGTAGTAAAGGCTACAGAGCAGTGAAGTACTGAGGGAGACAATGGGAAATCAGGCCATCTTCATAAAGTGCTGAATACCTCTGTGCGGGGCAGGTGGTTGATTCTTTTAAGCTGTGAATCCTTGGAGGGATTCAACAAACAGGTGGTATAAACTGTGTTGTAGACTGGGTAGAGACAAAAGGTGAGTGAGTTAAGAGGCTTTTGTATCAATAGAAATATGGACAACGGCAATTCTTGTTTTAAAAGATTCCATGTAAGAATAGCCTTGGGATTTGAATCATGCATGTTCTGAGCATTTACCTTAGGTTCCTCTAAACCAATGACTGTTGCTTAGAGATTTTCTAATGACTATCCTCAGGATACAGTGGTATGTAAGAAATGGAGGAGGTGAGGACACACGGCAAATATAGAATTAGGGAATGCACTGCAGACTCATAGCAGACATTCAGAGAAGAAGTGATGAGCATTGGCCAGAAAAGTTAGGAATGGCTTCATGGAGGAAGTTGAATTTAAGATGTACTTCAAAGGGTGTGTAAGGATTGAATACATGGACCACATAAGCACAGCATTGGCATGGAAGTTAGCCACACCTCTTGTGTTAGAAGTCAAGGGTAGAAGGGGAGGATTAAGAGAGAAGTTGTTTATTATTTTTTAGTCGATTTGGCATGAGTAGGTAGAGAATATGGAAGGGGCAGACTGGAGTACAGCTAAATATTAAATTGTAAAATATGGTCAAAACAGCATTTTTCAACTTCTCTTACCTATTTTTAGTGTGTATTATCTATTGGTTAGGGTGCTGTTTTGGGGGATTCCAACATAGTTGAAACCTGGTGCAGACTGTCAAAAAGCTTGAAGGGTCACACAGGTTTGGCCAGCACCTTGCTGCATGACTTGTCTTTATGAAAGAGAGGAAGAGGAAGGAAAACAGAGTTGGGATGGGGGATGATCTTAGCTTGGTCATCTACAAAATGAACATAATATTTTCTCTTTGATAGGTGCTTAAAATTCAATGCATCATTAACTGGTGAGATCTTAAAGATGTCGAAAAGAAGGGCATGAGAAAAATTGTTGACCAGTCAATCAGTGCTTTTTTGGGAAAAAAAATAGCAGTATTTTATTGAATTGGGGTGTTTTGCTATCTTGTGTTTGTTTTGTTTTCTTCTATTTTGTTTAGTTTGCTATTTGCTTTGCTCCTTAGGGAAAAGAGAAATTCCCAAGTGTAAGAAACATTGCATTTCTTTAAGAAAGAATATAGCAAGAACCAAATTGAAACCTCCTGAGCAGTGGTTTTTCAGAGAGTTCAAAAAACCCCTAGCACTGCATGGCAAATGTGGTGTGAATATGCACTTGTTTGGTGAGAGAGTCCCTAGCTATCATGGAGTTCTCAAAGGGTCTATGAGGCAAAAAAGAAGTTACAAACCACCAGTGTAGGGCCATGATTCCTGATTTTTGAGGAGGTACATGCCTCTAGGAAATGGTAGGTTGGCTTTGGAACAACAAGACTTGTGCCTCTCCTCACCCTCATCCAGCCCTGTTTTAAAGTTCATTTTCCCATTTCCCCATGCCATGGCTGAGTCTGCCAAGCAAAAGGGAACAGGAAGAGGTGTAGCAACAGGATGAATAGAGTAGGGATGCCTAGGGTGGGGCCATCAGCTTCGCTTCTTGCTGTTGAATCTCCTGGCTCTGGGCTTTGGGCATCACTTCCCTCATCTATAAAACAGGGACAACAGCAGCAGCTGCTTCTTAAGCTTATAGTGAGAAAGAATTAAAATGGCCAGTGGAAAGCCCCTAGCCTGGTGCCTGTACATGCCAGACTTTTAACACATATGAGCTATGTGTTAACACATATAAGGCTTAGAAATGATCTAGGATGTTTATTTAGTGAAGATGAAAGTTTTCTTGAATTGATAACTAATTTACAAATGAAGTAATGGCCTGGCTCAAGTGCACATTGCATTACCTAGACACAGCCATATAGCACATACAAACATATGCTGAAATACATGGAGAAAAGGTAGCCATTGCCTCGGAGCAAGTCTCCTTTCCATGTTAAAAAACAATAAAACAAACACCCAAAGCATTAACAAACCCAAGCAACTTGGTCTGCAGCTGGAGTCTGTGTGCAGTTTTACAGATGGGTTGTATTCCATTCCCAGAATAGCAACAGGAGAAGGAAAGAGCGGAAACAGAGCTCTAGATTGTCCTTGTACGAAACATTCTTTTAAAAGAAAACAAAGTCTTCCATTTGTTCATGCTTAAAAAAAAAAAAAAAAAAATGAGAAAACCCTACTATGACTTTAAAGGAGTAAAGGGAAACACTCCAAATACCTCTGAGTTCTAAAGGGAGGAATTTGAAAATGACACATATTTTATTTTCACCTTAATCATGAATTTGCAGGAAAAGAAATGAAAAATAAAACAAAAACTTGTCAGATTTTATATCAGTGAAATAAAAATTGGACGATCCTACATAAAGGGCACTTTCTTTCAAATTCTCAGTGTTTATCACATGAAATAATTTCGCTTGGTGGCCGTTCACCTGAAAACAGCCTCACCTTTTAAAAATAAGACAACTTGTGTACCATGCCGGGATTGCAGTACAGCGCAGTCACCAGCTCATGGCTCCAGAGGATGAGAGTGGTGTTCATGGGGGCTTTGTCTCAACTATTCATCAGGACTCCTAAATTCTATACCAAGGTGTTTCTGAAAGGTTGTATAGATCTTCCCAGGCACAAAATCCCCACCAAGCAGGCACAGTTCCCATTTTTATCCTAACTCTCAACTGATATTGACAAGAGAAATAAAAACACACAAACCAGTAGTTCTCAACCAGGAGTAATTTTACCACACAGGGGACATGCGACCATGTCTAGAAATAATTCTGGTTGTCACACTGTAGGCTGGGGGTCGGGGTGCTCCTGGTATCTAGTAGGCTGAGGCCAGGGGTGCTGTTCCACATCTCCAAAGCACAGGAAAGCCCCCACAGCAAAGAATGATCTGGCCTTGCATGTTATTGGTGCTGAGGTAGAGAAACCCTAGCCTAGAGAAACTTAGACTCTCCCATTCACCTGAAAAAAAGACAAGTAAGTAGAAAGAATGCCCACACCTTTAAAAATGTTCATATTCCTTATTACAACAATGCAACTTGTAGAAATTTACTCCTAAAAAGTGCTCACCCAAGCTCACAAAATGTCTTTTCAAGGGTACTTTTGTACTATTGTTTATAACAACAAATAATTCAAGACAACATAAATGCCTATCAGTTGACTGTGATTAAAACACATCATGGTTTATTTGTGCAATGGGATTCTATGGGCCAATGAAGACTAAAGACAGGATTTTTTTTTTTTTTTGTAGTGGAAAGATTATTGTAGCATATTGTTGAGACAGAAACCAAGTTACAAAATAACATATGGATGAGATCCCAGTTTTAAAGAAAAAAAATTCAGGTATACATGTATATATGTGCACAGGAAGACATAGGAATGGATGATTTGGGGCAGTGGTAGAATTATGGGCAATTTTTTTTTCTTTTTGCTTACCTGTACTTTCTAATTACTAATATATTGAACATAATTTTTTATACTTCAAGCTAAAAAATAGTTTCCTTCCTTCACCCTGTACTCCTCTTTAGTTTCCTATATTTCTTCTTCCTCCTTCTCTGTGAGATCTTTTGAAGAAAGTGTCTACATTCACTATTTCCACCTCTGCAACTGTTCCTCATTCCTGCCACACCACTGACATGACTCTTATCTGGGACATCAGAACCATCAGAGAGTCCATTCTGGAGGGAAGGGTCATATCTCAATGACCCTCTGCCACAGCTCATCACTCACTTGAAACTCGCCTATCATTTCTTTTAGGATATAGGTTTCTCTTATTCTAACTTCTCACCCATTCTTGACCTCCTTCATCAGCTGCTCCTTAAAGATGCTGGAGTCTCAGGAACCCCTTGTCAGCCCCTCATGTTCCTCATTTTACTTTCCTTCCATTCCATTTTTTCCTTTGTTTAAACACAAGAGCCTCACCCTCTGCATTATCCTCCTCACCCTTCATGCGCTCCATAATTTGGGAAGCTGCTCTTCATCCCTACTTCTTCCTTCCTAGTTCAGATGCTAGCTGCTGTAGCCTAGACTATTGCAGTGTGTTCCAGGTAGTCCTACTCCATTGCATCCCCTATCCCCTGTTTCATAGATTGCTCTTCCTAAAATGCAAATTCCATCTCCATTCTGCTCTGTTCAGAATCCCCTTGCCCTTAGATGACAATTTGAACTCCTTGGTGTGACACACAAAGATCATCTTACCTGGCCCTTGCCTGCCTTTCCTGCAGAACCCCTTCCACACTGAGTTTCCTGGGGCTCTGTGACATATTCTAGATGTTTCTGTCTTTGCATGTGTGGTGCTTTCTTCACTGTGAAATTGTCCCCTGCCCCAGATCCTTTGCTTTTCAACCTAGCGAACTCTAGTCTTCTTTTGAGAGTTTGTGCAAATATTTCCACCTCTGTAGTGGTGATCCTGGGGCCTTAGGAGTTGAGAGCTTTATAGTTTGCAGTCATTAACTGTAAATGATAGGTTTATTTCCTCCCTAGAAGGAAAGCCATTTAAAATAAGGTCTATGTTGTGATCATTGCTGGAACAGTTTTAAAATAATTATAGCACATGAAAAATGCCCAGCCTATGATAGGTGCTGAGTGGATGAATCAATGGCGATATTATGGATTGATGAATGAAGGGATGGATGAAGAAACAGATAGATGGATGGATGGGTGTCAATATTTCTTAAGTGCAAACAGGATAGAAATTTTATATAGTACCCATTTTACAATAAATGACTTAGAGTTGCAAATTTTTACTCAATATGCTATTGAGATGACCACTGAACTATGAGCTCCAATCCAAGATATGAAAGCAAAAGGAAAATGGTGATGCTCTCCATGGATTGTGATAGAAATGATGGCATCCTTGCAGGATTATAAAAAATGAAGAAAAGGTTTCAGTGATTATTGAATCACCCAGTATTTTGAAAGGCAAACATAACAACAGTCCTTATGTTTTCTTCTCCCCTAGGTCACTGGGAATAAAATGACATCTCTAAACTTGGCTACCATATTTGGACCCAACCTGCTGCACAAGCAGAAGTCATCAGACAAAGAATTCTCAGTCCAGAGTTCAGCCAGGGCTGAGGAGAGCACGGCCATCATTGCTGTGGTGCAGAAGATGATTGAAAATTATGAAGCCCTGTTCATGGTAGGTAGCCCTTCTGTGGCAGAACATCACAACAAACTGCCTACTGGTTGCCTCTGAAGGCAGGATGAAACTCTAGGAGACCACTCTCTGATGTGTAGTGCTGCTCACTGAATTCATTTGAAGTCAGGCAGTTTCAGCAGGAGTAGAAATCTGCACAACTATTGTGATTCCATGTTTTAACAAACATGCCAAATTATAATTTTCATTTTGTCATCCTCTAAACCATGGTCACATTTTGGATTCATTTAATCATAAAGCAGTGTCCTTGCTCAAGACATTAATAAAGCCCTTCTTTTTGGAATTCTGTGTCCCTCATGAATTCATGTATTCATAAGCATCTTCAGTGGCTTCACCTCCTCCAAGGTCAATCTTAACATTTTACCTCCTACATGAAACTTCACCTGTCCTTCCTCTGTCCTTCCCATGCCACTTCTCTGTCCCTGAACTCCATTATTGTTCTTACTGATGTTTGTCTTGCCCAACATTGTATATAGTCATATATGCTCATTTCCCCTAGTAGAGTATAAATGCATTTAAACCAAGGGCTGCACCCTTATCTCCTCTCTGTATCCTCTGTACGCTTTTGGAAAGCCCTCCATCTGGTAGGCATTCAATACATATTTTTTTTGATTTGTATTGAATTACCAGTTCCTGTTTTCCTTCATAAAACTACATTGCTTGGTACAACTTCCCTTGAAACATTAGAACAACTGCCAACTCTCTTCTATTTCTGTTCACCAGTAATATTGCATGTCAAAATTTACAGGAACCTTCTTCATGTTTCTTCTTCCATTTCTCTTGTCAATTTGCAAGCACTATAAAGCCTACTTATTCCGCTAGACCCTTTTGTGCATCCTTTAAGAATGCTAGTTACCTCTTTTAAATCTCTCTAGTAATTTGTCTACACTTATCAATTGCTGTGCATTATATTTATGTCCATGCTTGTCTTACACCAATTATTTTTTATAAATTTGAGACCCAGTGTTTAAGAATATTTGCCCTCTGTATCTTACCTATGTGATTGTGAGCAAGTAATTCAATACTCATTAAGCATCAATACTAGCTTTAGAAATGAGAAATATACAAAGGTGATGTAATTCTCAGAGTGGTGACCAGAATTATTTGATATGTCAAAGTATTGTGCAAACTGTAGCGGTTTATGTGTTAATTAATAATTATATTAATTGGGTAACACATGCTGCCTCAAATCTCAGTGCTTTAACACAGACATAAATAGCTCTCTCTCATTAAGTTTAATCAGATATTAGGTGGACAGCCTTCCAGGTGATTTAGGAATCCCAGCTCCTTGTATCTTGAGGCTCTGCCATTTTTTAGGGTTTTACAGATAACCCCAGAAAGGTCATCCATCTTGTCCACTCAGATCTCATTGGTCAGAACTTATGCACAAGCCACACTTAACTTCAAAGGAGGCTGGGAAGTGTATCCTGGTTGGAAGCCCAGGAGGAAGAGCAAATAGATTTACCACACTGAAAAGTTCACTGAGGTAGAATGGCATCTTTCTCTTGTATGTATCTCTGAAACATTGTCCCTGGATTGCCCATGATAAGCTCTCAAAAAAAGGTTGAATTAATAATTGACTCTACATAAAATGTACACTTCAGCCAAAATCCTGATAATTAGCTACATATTTGGATGAATCAAATGTCTGAACTTTTCAACATTTTCATCAACTTTTAAGTCACGTATCATCCTGCCAAGTAGTCTTGGCATTACTTCATGTTCTCTGGATTTTTTTTTTTAACAAAACAATACTTCTTGTCAATCTTAATTCTATTATCTAAGTAAAGTTCTCCTTTATATGAAACCACAAACCATCGGGCATTTCTTTTCAAATCAGATACCAACAAAACTCTTCCTGGCTTCTTTGAAAATACAGCTGCTGCCATTTTAATTGCTCTTCTCTCCATTTCCTGCCACCTGAATTACTAAGAGCAGTATAAAAACATCAGTATTCTACCTTTTCCAGCTTTTCCCAGATCTGATCTTTGTTTGCCATTCTCTGTAGGGATTGATGTCAACATTCTCTCTTATTTTTGGTGGCCAGTTATAGTCTTTACTTCTCAAAGAGGCCTTCACTGGCCACTTAGTATAAAATGCACCTCCCATCCCCGCCACCGCACACATACATGCACGCACGCACACGCACCTTCACTCCCTATTTCCTTTCCCTGCTTTTTCTTCTTAGCACTCACCACTGTTAACATAGGGTTTTACAAATTTATCTTGTTTATGTTAACTACATGACAGGATGATTTTTTTGGGTCCATTTCTATCTATAGTACTTCCTTTACTGCATTACCCCTGTGCCTAGGACATGGTAGGAACATAATAAATATTGGTTGAATTAATGAATGGCTCTATGGTTCTTCTGTGAGATATGATTTCCATATTACCAAGTTTTACTCCTTATACATATGAAAACATTTGGGCATGGAGAAATTGAGGATACCTTTCTTGTAATAAATTAACCATTAATGTAATCATTCTTGATCTCTTTAGAAGGATTATGGGACTCATATTAAGAAAAATAACAGTCAGTCAGCAGAGATGGCTCACACCTGTAATCCCAGCACTTTGGAAGACTGAGGCAGGTGGGTCACCTGAGGTTGGGAGTTTGAGACCAGCCTGACCAACATGGAGAAACCCCATCTCTACTAAAAATACAAAATTAGTCAGGCATGGTGACTCATGCCTGTAATACCAGCTACTCGGGAGGCTGAGGCAGGAGAATCACTTAAACCTGAGAAGCCGAGGTTGCCGTGAGCCAAGATCACGCCATTGCACTCCAGCCTGGGCGGCAACAAGAGCAAAACTCTGTCTCCAAAAAAAAAAAAAAAAAAAAACCCAACAGAGAGAGAAAGAAAGAAAAGAAAAATAACAGAATAACAGTAGAGTGGGAGGAAAAGGGAGACAATTATCTCAAGTCTGGGTCTATGAAAAGAAACTGACTTCTGGGAGCAGAAAATTTTACTATAGTCCTATCTCTGGTATTTATTAGCTATATAACCTCATCTTTCGTTTCTATTCATTTTAGTTAGCAAAAAACTAGATTTGAATGAATGATAGCCAGAATCCCTTCTAGTTCTAAAATCTGCATGGTTCTATGCCCTAGCACTGACTTCCCCACCTTCCTTTTTATAAAACACAGAAGAAAATTAATCTGATCACATTTTAGATTCTCTTGGCATATTTGACAGTTTGAAATCTAGTTGGCTAAACCAAGGCTGGTGGTTGGTCAGCAAAGCTGATCTGCATAGGTGAACAAAAATATCGTGTATGTAACTATTTTGTTTTGTTTTGCTTTGCTTTTTAAAGAAGCTTTCACAATTATTGTAATTCCAAACAAGGAAGGATGAAGCTAGTCAGGGCTTGATGGTTAAAAGTAGTAATTGTGCAGTTTCACAGTCCTTGGGTTTAGGAGCTTCGAAAAGGAGACCTTCACTTCCATTAGCATTAGAAAGGAAGTCTTGTTAGGAGAGGTAGCTATACGCTTGTCCTGGAAGGCAGAACAGGCCTGGAGGCAGTGACTCCATAGAGGAACTGGTGGGAAGGAATATAGAAGCTCACAGAGGCCTGGCAGGGGCCCAAAATTTGTTGTTAATGTTTTAATGTCCTTCATTTCCTGATGCTGAGACTTCCTCTCCCAAGTGGCCACTGAGTTAATGGGAAATGGCAGAAAAGAACCTGGCTTCATCCTGTAATATAGAAGAGGCACCTAGATGCAGAGGTTGACACACAATTTAAGAGTCTGGCTAGGACAGTCTTTGTAATTGGTTGTTTGCTTTTCAGGTAGTGGTTTGGAAATCCTTGAGCTGGAAATATATCATAATAGTAGACACCATGACCACTCTATCAAAATACCAAGGCAGTAATTATAATAGTGGTTCTCAAACTTGAGTGTGCAGCAGAGTTGCAAGGAAACTTAGACATTCAGATTCCTAGGATGCAGTCCAGAGAATCAGATTGAGCAGCACTGGGATGGGGCTCAGCAATCTGCACTTTCTAGTGAACACCTCCATGGAGTTCTGGTAGTTTCCTAACCACAGCTTTGGAAACCAAATGTTGGGAAACACTGGTAAGATAGAAAGACCATGTGCATTGGAATGAGCTACCAAAATTCAAATCCCTGATCAGCCACTTATTTGCTATGTAATCTTGGGCCCCCACACTTAACTTCCCTAGCCAAAAGATGAAATGACATGACCTAATTTACAGGGTTGTTATAAGACTTAGAAATATTTTAAGTCACCTAGAACAGAATTAACATATACTAGGCACTAAAAAAAAAAAGATTTCTGCTGTGATTACATTAAAGTGATAAGATGCCTGCTTTATCAAAGCATGTTTGGATGTCTTCTTGGAAATCAAGCCCACCCTGCCCACACTGTGTATAATGCTGTGAACTGCTCCCAGACATATATACTGCTAGGTCCTTACTCTGCTCTTCTTTTTATTCTATAGCATTTACTACCTTTTAACCCACTATACAATTTACTTATTTATTATGGTTATTGAAACCTAATAGAATACAAACCTTATAAAGGCAGGGATTTTTGTTTGTTCTATTCACTGACATTAACATCACCTAGAAAGCACATGGCAAAAGATGGGTACTCAGTAATTATTTGTTGAATAAATACTGCAAGTCTCTATTACTAGAAAAAAAAATGTATTTTTGTTGTTGTTTGGATTTTTTCCAGTGTCCATACTGCTTATATTCCCTTACTTTTAAATCATGACGCTCCATTTCCAATATCAACACCTATTAAAAACTGGCTAACATAAAATGAATATTCTGTGGGAGCATTGGAAATCAAAGAATCATGAATATCTAGACAAAGTCATTGGTATTATCCTAACCAGAAAGCTCTCACTGACTAAATCACTGACACATGAATTGTTCTGAAACTTGTTGCTACTGTAACTAATATTGGGAATTCCAGAGAAAACTCATCATTGCTCTTGGGATTAGTAAGAAC